TAAAAATGAAATTCTAGTTTGTTGTTTTATTAGTAAGAGACTCAAATGGATAAAAGGAAATGTTCAGACTAAGTTAATTAAGCCCAATTACATTAGTCTGCAAATCTAAATTATGGAACCTTACTTCCTAGTTTATTTAGACTCTGATGTGACACTCATGAATTATTTCCTGTTCAATTAAAATGAATTTTCCATAGCCCAGTGTTTATAAAAGAAGATGAATCAGGCACATGGTTAATAACTTAAATATTAAAGACATTTTTGGTGTACTTAAGGAATCATAAGTCTTTTGGTCTTAGCCTACTGGTTATAGTGTGGCTTATTAGACATACCTAAAGCAGAATCATAGCTATTAATCTTTAGACTTTCCAGTTACTCTTGCTAGAGATCCAGCCAAGTTTCAGTCTTGTAACTGGGAATGATCCTGCTGAGGTTTGTCCACCTAATAAACTCTGCTTGAGGGTTTGGCTGTGTGGCATTGCCTTCACATTATCAGCAGTTTGTGTTCATCTGGGCAAGATTAATGTCTGTGTTCCAGGAATTCTTCGGTGGTCTGCTACTTGGTGGAAACTCACTGGGCCACTGCTGACTCTGGACAAATTGCTGGACCCCTCTAGGTCTCACTTTCCTCCTCTGTTAAATAAGCGGATTTGATTGGACGATCTAACGTCCTGTCCTTGTTTTAAGCGCTTTGTCTGTGAATCTGTGCTTTTTTGTTGTTGACTGGGCTCTTTGGGATACTAGCTTCTTTATACTGGGTTTCTATTTGTGTTGGTTTGGGGGTGTATTTGTCAGTTTCTTTTGTTTTTTTAAAAAGATTAATTTACTTATTCATTCAAGAACTGAGGTATAGGTGTACAGGCCAGAGATGCTGGTTGTGGGGGGTGAGAAGATTTACCAGAGAACAAGTAAGGAACAGAGCAGGCAGATCGAATGACGTACACTGCTGAGGGGGACGGTGGGTGGGACAGAAGAGCCCTGCCATGCCATATGGGTCACCTCCCTGACTGGGGATTGAACTCCTGCTACAGTGGCTGCTGATAGCTTCATTATAGTGCTGTGCTTTAACCCTTTGTGCCACCAGAGAAGCCCATGTCAGTTTCTTTTTGCACACAAGTGTTAGAAAGCAAAATGTTTACAGAAGGCAGAAAATGAAAAGCTGCCTAATTTAACTTTTAGGTTTTCTTAAGAGTTGAAGGTTGACAAGTTTAATATTTTCTAGATTAGTATAAATAACTAGAAATATCTTGAAATTCTTTTTTTTGAAATTTTGAAAGCCAACATCATATTGTTTGTTGGAAGAAATTCTTTATTGGAATTTTTTAGCCACTATTTCCAATAACATTTGCTATCGGATTGCTTTGTAAATTTATTTTCCTTTGACAAGTGGCAGCTAACTAGATTCACCCCCATCTTTTAGCCCTTTGGAGTAAAGCTGAGCTATTTCAGGCACTTGGTTTAGACTCATTCAACTCTCAGAATATGTGACTTGACAAATTTTACTACCCAGTCTTATATCGCATGGTGCTGTAATTTGATGCTTTAAGGAAAGTTATTTTTCCCCTTTTCTTCCTTTCTTCATCTTTGTCGTTTTTATTCTTTTCTTTTCCAAAGGTTGGAGTTCTGTGGACCAAGAGCCAGCTCCTCCACAGTGGGGGAGAGGCTAGTGTGTCTCTTCCCTTGAGGCAACGTTCTTCCAGTCTGATGAATTGTCAGATCTACTGAGGGGTTGGCAAACAGATTGGACAGTGACTCCAGGAACAGGGCAGGGTCAGTATTGTAGGTAGCAGCTATCAAAACTCAAGTGATTTCCCCTGGTGTTTAGTAGTAGAGCCCTGCGTATTTCTAGTGTGACCGACAGTCTGCAGGAATTATGCAGAGTGGAGTCTTGTCTTCTAAGGAGCAAAGGAGGATGGGTAAGAGCATACTGCAAGCTGAGTGTGGGTAGATTATAAGGCAATAAGAGAAGAGGAGCATAACTAATAGTTATGAAATGAAACTTGTGTAAGCCCGATGGTTCTTGATCACAATGCCAGCTCCAAAGTTTGGAATTAACATGTGTAAGAATGTTTGAAAAGAAAGGAAGACTGTTTTTATTTAGTATCCTTTACTCTGTTGTGATTTGATAAGCTACCATGGGAAAGAGATAAAAAGTTAAGGAAAACGGGTTTTTACCTTATTGTGCATTATTAATAGTTTGGAGTTCCTGGGAAATAGAATCTTGCTGTACATCTTACATGACTGATTACTGGACCCAAAGTCGGCTTGACAGTGGATGGAGCAGTAATAGCCCCCTACTGTCGGGAGAGGCCAGGGCAGGCTTTTCCCAGCAAGCCTGCTTGAGGTCAGGCTTGTCCTAGACTCCATGACCCAGAGCAGGCAGGATAATTCCACTCTCTGTGGCTTCATCAGTCGCTGGGAAAGAAAGCTTCGTCAGTAAGGTAGGCTACCAACAGGATGAGTGGGGGCCTGGATGCCTGGAGACATGTTTAAAATATTGAGAGCTGTTAGCTTCAGCGAATACCTGTTAAATACCTACTGATGTTGATCAACTGCTCTAGTCTACACTTAGGAAACAGAAGATGTAGACCTCTGCTTTTAAGGAACCTATGTATTGCCCACACCTTTGGTGAAGTACCCAGTGAAAATAGGTATCTAAACATTTTGATACCAGGGCTGATAGGGTCAGCCCTGAATCTTAGGGTCTTCATGGGCTTCTGGAGATTGTAGACCTTTTAAACCTCTCTTTTTTTTCATGAACAACACATACTTAACTGATGAATGAGTATTTGTTGCCATTTTAAAACAACTATAAATAAGCCAAAAGAGGAAACATAGTCACCCTAATCTCACCACAAAGAGCTGACCACTGAAGAGCTTCTGAACGTGGGTGATAATTAGCCAGTGCCTCCCCGCTTTGGACCCTTGACTTTTTCATCAGCAAGAGACACCCCTACACACGCCAGCGGACATGGCCACAGGGGAGCCTTGCTGATGAAGAAAGCTCTTGGGAGACCCAGGGGTATTGACATACTTGTCAGGAAAGTCTCTGGAAATCACACTGCTTGTCTGCCCTTTAAGTTACTCTTTTTGGTTAACAGGATTCCGATTGTCAATAATGTACTCAGCAACAAAATATAAAATTGTAGTATTTGACTTAATTCTGTTTCTTTTCCTTTTTAAAAGACAGGTTAGACTACATATGGTGCATAGCTAGTACATGATTAGAAACATCCGAAAGATAAAATAAGTCATGGGGGTTTAATGTATAGCATGGTGGCTATTGTTGCATATTTGAAAGTTACTAAGAGAGATCTTAAAAAACTTCACCACAAGAAAAAGTATTTTCTGTAACCATGCATAGGGCAGATGTTAAGTAGATTTATTGTCGTTAGACACATACTAAATCATTGCTGTACACCTGAAACTAATAATAAAGTTATATGTCAATTATATCTCAGTTTATAAAAAGAAAACATAATGTGATTATTTCTTTCTACTTAATTTTAGGTCAGTCTTGTGAATCGATAGAGAAACAATGTGACAGTATTGAAACCACAGTAAATTAAAAATCCATGGTGCTGAATATTAATCCGGGTTTTAATCACTTACTCTGTGCTAAAAAAATCTATTTAATCCCTTTGAATCTTAGTTTCTGTATTGATAAAACAAAAAAATAGATTAGGCATTCTTTCAACCCTACCATCATTGTGGCTAAAACCACAAATCTCCATTTCTTTGTGTTTCCCTGGTGCCAGTCTACTTTTCTGTGCTAGCAATTGAGGGGCTACTTTACCTTCAGTGGATAGTTTTCTTTTTTCTTCAAAGATTTATTTTGGGTCCCTTCCTGGTAGCTTACAAATGCAGCACTTTGAAGCTCTCCAAAGCCACTGCAGCTTGAGTTCAATTTCCGGCCAGGGAGGTGACCCACATGGCATGGCAGACCTCTCACCAGAGACAGTGTGGGGAGCAGAGCAGGCAGATTGACTGAAATACACTTCTGAGGGGAGTGGTGGGCGAAACAGGAGGGGTTTGATGTGCCATGTGGGTCAGCTCCCGGGCCAGGGATGGAACTCATGCCTCAGTGGCTTGCAATGGCTTGCTAGTCCTGAGACTAACCCCTGTGCCACCAGTGAGTCCCTGGATGATTTCCTTAAGGCATAGGCAGCTGTGCTTTTACTAGGAATTATGCTTATTAGAGAATTTCAGAATCTTAGACACTCTGTGACTATTTGATAACTATACTCTTCCTGAGACTGACACTACAACCCAGATGCCCTTGATGAGACACATACACACTGTGATTGTGCACTTAACTCCGAACCCTGTGTCTAAGTTGGGCGCTCTGTAGTGAGCCATTCAGGCCTCATTTCTCTTTGACAAGTGTTTATTTTAAGATTGCTTTGTATAGCAGTTGTTTGACAGCCAAGCGATCTATTAAGTTAAGCTGAACTTATTTTAAATGAGCTGCCCTTAAAAGACCAAACAGGAATTTAGGTTTCCAACCCAATTTAGCAAAATCAATTTCACTTAAAAATTTTTTTAAAGATTTATTTATTTATGCATACAGCAGCGCAGGGGTAATGAAAGGATCCACCAGAGGTAGAGCGGGGAGCAGAACAGGCAGATTGATGAAGTACACTGCTGAGGGGAGCAGCAGGCCAGACAGAAGTCTGCTGTGCCATACAGGTCATCTCCCTGGGCAGGGATTGAACTTGTGCTGAAGCAGCTGCAGGTAGCTTTGTAGTGCCGTGCTTTAACCCATTGTACCACCAGGGAGGGCCCAAAACATGATTGATTTAGGTAAATAACTAATCAGTTATTCTTTAGATAAAAGTTTTATACGTGTGTGTAATTTTAATTCTTGCCATTAGTACATGCTTCCTGTCTTCTGGTATCCAGATTGTCACAACTGTAATTAGGGCATTCCTTCATACTTAACAAATACAACCAATGTGGGCTTTGTAACTCAGGTTTCTCCCTTCCCTTTTGTATTTCAGATGCTCTATACTTGCCTGTAGTGCTTACGTGGCTCTTGCCCTAGGTGATAACTTGATGGCTTTGAATCATGCAGATAAACTTCTTCAGCAGCCCAAACTGTCAGGATCTCTCAAGTAAGTGTACCTTGCCATGGGTGTCCCTGGTTTGATTTGTTAGGAGCTTTTCAGTTTGTTTGTGGTACATGTTGCTTCTTTTTACTCCCCCAGTGAAATATATATTATCTAGAGAAAACAACAGATTAAATTTTTTCTTAGTTCATATATGATAGTGTATTTTTTAATATTTTATTTATTTATTTTTTCATTGAAGAACTGGGGTGTAGCCAGAGGTGCAAGGGGTGAGAGGATTCTCCAGAGACAGAGTGGGGAGCCAGAACAGGTGAATTTACTGAAATACACTCCTGGGAGGGAGCAGCAGGCATGACAGAAGAGATCTTCTGTGGATCAACTCCCAGGCCTGGAATCAAACTCATGTCATAGTGGCTGGTCATAGCTTGATAGCACTGTCTTTAACCCCTGCACAACCAAGGATAAATTTTTTTTTTTTTTTTAAGATTTATTTATTTGTGCATACAGAACTGGGGTACAGGCCAGAGGCTCAGGGGCGGCGAGAGGCTTCACCAGAGACAGAGTGGGGAGCAGAACAGGCAGATCGACGAAGTACACTGCTGAGGGGAGCAGCGGGCGGGTCAGGAGAGGTCTGGCTCGCCATGTGGTCACCTCCGGGGCAGGCGGGAATCGAACTCATGCGGAAGCGGCTTTAGATTCTCAGTGCTGTGCTTTAACCCGCTGCGCCACCAGGGAGGGCCCCAAGGATAAATTTAATGATCATTTCAAGGACTTGAGTATATTACTTACATACCAAATCTTATTATACATAGAATGTTTTTGTTTTCGGTTTAGAATATTGGTTTTTTTGTATTTTTTTTCATTTTAGGTTTTTGGGCCATTTATATGCTGCAGAAGCCCTCATCTCTCTAGACAGAATATCTGATGCCATTACTCACTTGAACCCGGAAAATGTCACTGATGTCTCCTTAGGGATCTCTTCAAATGAGCAGGACCAAGGTTAATGAGGATATACTTGATCAGAACTCATCGCCATTTCCACTGTTATGTTGTAACTCAGAAGTGTGTTAATTTAAGGACACAGCTTTAAAGGAAATAGTTTTAGATTGACTGTATTTTTGACTGTATTTACTTTGAAATAATTGTCTTAGTAGACTGAGAAGTTGATTATCACATGATCTGAATTCAACTTTTGAGAGGCTGATAGTGTTAGGACACTTTGTGTTGATACTTTTGATTCTTACATGGTTCTCCGAAATAATTTCAGAGTCCAGGGAGAACAAAGATACTGTATTCAAACATCAGCTTTAAATCATGACTAAGTTTGTGAGGGAGTGAAAGTGGCATTCATTTGATTCTGGGTCATTCCTCAGACATGTAGTGGTGGTAAGTGGGGGCATTCTGATGTCTTCTAATGGAACCCCCACTCTGTGAAAACTAAACATTGTGACAGATTGCTTTGCTATTAGATTTCTGTTTCATAAAAGAGATCTGATTTTTAGAATATGTACTTTGTTGCCCTGGCCCCTCAGATTGATTTTCATATCTTTGTAGGATCAGACAAAGGTGAAAATGAAGCAATGGAATCCTGTAAGTAAGAAGCTTCATAAATACTTAAGTAATTAAGCCTTGTATGTCCTTCATTTGTCAGCCTGAGGAGCATGTTTTGTTTTATTCTCCTGACGGAGAGCAGCTCCCGACGGGGTGAGGGCTTGAGGGATGGATATGGGCCTGCTTTCTCCCTTCTTGGCCTCTTCAACAGTGTCTCTGTTCTTCCCTAGCTGGGAAGCGGGCCCCTCAGTGTTACCCCAGTTCCGTCAACTCTGCCAGGACTGTGATGCTGTTCAACCTTGGCAGTGCCTATTGCCTGAGGAGCGAATATGACAAAGCCCGAAAGTGTCTTCACCAGGTAAGGCAGGAAGGGACAGACGGTACCAGACTTTTTCACAGAGCAACTAGCAAAGTGTTTGGTGTTTATGGTTTCTTGTTATGTTTTTAGAGGCTTCTCATTAGTTTGTTAAACATTGAAATATTAATTTTCCAAGCCTAAGAATATTCTTGCGGCCCTCCCTGGTGGCACAAGGGGTTAAAGCATAGCACTAGCCGCAGGTGCTTCAGCATGAGTTCATCCTGTCCATGGAGATGACCCATCCTGCCCAGGAAGCTGACCCACATAGCAAAACAGACCTCACCTGTCTCGCCCGCTGCTGCCCTCAGCAGTGTACTTTGTCAGTCTGGCTTTTCTAGCTCCCCACTCTGTCTCTGATGAATCCTCTTACTGCCCCTGCACCTCTGGCCTGTACCCTAGTTCTGTATGCATAAATCAATAAATCTTAAAATAAAAAAAAGAGAATCAAGCGTGTCTGATGACCCATCTCAAAACCAAAGTACAGCCAATAGATAGAATAAAAATCCAAAACAAAGCCATGAGTTTTTAATAACTCATTATGGAATAGACAAGGGAAAATAATTGTTAGACTAAAAGTTACATATCTAGTTGAATTGACAGAGATCCAGCCAAGGTAGCTGAGGCCCTCAGAGCAGCACTGAGGCCCTGGGAAGTCACAGGAGTGGCTCAGAAGAGTTTGTTCAATTGTCACCGACATTCTTGGGTGTTTGTTTTTGCATTACTTGGAGTTTGCATTTTCATTTTCAGCTGGTGGTTTTTTTCCTCATGAGTGTCTTTTTTTGTTTTGAGCAAAGGCGGCTTCCATGATCCATCCTAAGGAGGTGCCCCCTGAAGCCATCTTGCTGGCAGTCTACCTTGAACTGCAGAACGGTGAGTGAGTCTGCTCTCAGCTGGGGCTCTGCCTTCAAGGCTCTAAGAAGTTTTGGTCTCTGCTTTTTCACTTTGAAAATGAAATTTCATCTCTCATAAAGATGTTAGCCACCAAGTTCTTCTAAACAAAAACCTAGGTGACTGGCTAGTTTTCAGTAGTTTACAGATTCCCCAATTACATGTATTTTCTATTAGTTACTAAAATGAAGAATAAATAGACAAGAAAGATTTAAAAGAGAAGATGCAGAATAGCTTAACTTCTGTGAGTTATGCTTAATCTCTACTAATCAACCTTTCTCTTAGCAGCCAAATAACAGAACACAAGCCAGTTGCTTTGAGCTGTACACATAGTGTTTGAATACAGATTTCATTCATGAGTTTTACAGTAAGTCCAGTCTTGCTCAAACCTAAATCCACATCATGCTTCGAAAGGCATGTAGAGCCTCCAGGGTGGCTAACTGGAAGAAAGGCCCTACATTTGAAATAGTGTGAAGCAGAGGGGGCTCCCTGGTGGTGCAGGTGTCATTGCAGCTTGAGTTCCATCCTAGCCAGGCAGGCACTAACCCACCTGGCACAGCAGATCCCTCCTGTCTCCTTCTGCTCCTCTCAGTAGTATATTTCAGTAGATCTACCTGTTCTGCTCCCCACTCTGTCTCTGGTCAATCTTCTTAACCCCTGCACCTCTGGGCTACACCCCAGTTCCTTTTTTTTTTTTTAAGATTTACTTATTTATACATACAGAACTGGGGTACAGGCCAGAGGTGCAGGGACAGTGAGAGGATTCACCAGAGACAGAATGGGCAGCAGAACAGGCAGGTCGACGAAGTACACTGCTGAGGGGAGCAGCGGGCGGGTCAGGAGAGGTCTGCCGCGCCATGTCAGTCAGCTCCAGGGCCAGGAAACAAACTCGCACTGAAGCGACTGCGGCTTGCTGGCAGTGCTACATCCTAACCCATTGCACTACTAGGGAGAGCCCCAATTCTTTCTTTTTTTTTTTTTAAGATTTATTTATGAATACAAGAACTGGGGTGTAGCCTAGAGGTGCTGGTGGTCAGAGGATTCTCCAGAGACAGAGTGGAGAACAGAGCACAGAATAGGCAGTTTGACTGAAATACATTGCTGAGAGGAGCAGCGGGAGATACAGGAAAGGTCTGTGGCACCTTGTAGGTCCCCTCTCTGGCCCAGGATTTAACTGGTACTACAGTGGCTGCAGGTAGCTTCATAGTGCTGCACTTCAACCCACTCTGCCACTAGGGAGGCCCTACACCCCAGTTCTTGTATATATAAATAAATAAAAATAAATCTTTTTAAAAAATAGTGTGAAGTGGAAAAAGTGATATGAATAGGAGAAATTAGAAGTTTTCTGTTCATTACATTGCTAGAAATCAGAAAGGCCAGAAATAGTAAGAGTTCAAGTCATACTTCCTCACCATCCAGCATAGGAATCCTTATAAGACTCCTTTTTTTAAATGTTGTAGAAGGAAGTTAAGTACCTAGCACACAGCAGGCCTGGCGTCCCCAAGGCCTCCACTGACGCATGGTCCTAGATCCATTCTTCCACACAGTCTGCTTGTGGACATATTCTCATCCAGACCTGTGCCGCAGTTCAAAAGCTGAGCAGCTTTTAAAAATCCCATTGCCTGGCCCTCCTTGGTGGCGCAATGGGTAAGGACTCAGCACTGCAAGGTAGCTGCAGCCGCTTCAGTGCCAGTTTGATCCCTGGCCCCGAAGGAGATCCACATGGCGAGGCAGACCTCTCCTGACCCGCCCGCTGCTCCCCTCAGCAGTGTATTTTATCAGTCTGTCCGTTCTGCACCCCACTCTGTCTGTGGTGAATCCTCTCACCTCCTCTGTGCCTGTACCCCAGTTCTGTATGCATAAATAAATCTTTAAAAAAAAAAAATCCCAAACCCATGGGGATTACAACTGAGATGAAAAAAAAAAAAAGTACAAAATGATGTAAAAATAAACTTATATTATTAAAAAAAAAAAAATCCCGTTGGCCAGGTCACACCCTAGATGTCCTGAGTGAGAATTTGTGGCCATGAAACGGCATTGTGTGTTTCTCTGTGTGGCTAAGGTCGCACGCTGCCGCCCTCCTACAGCACCTTTGACTGCCCCTACAGAATTCTGCCTGGCTTGCTTCTTCCTGCAACACGCTTTTCTTTTAATGGGAAATTTTTTTATAGGCAATACCCAGCTGGCCTTACAGATCATCAAAAGGAATCAGCTGCTGCCTGCGGTGAAAACACTCTCTGAAATGAGAAAGAAGCCAGTGTTTCAGCCTGTCCACCCGCTCCAGCCCATCCAAGTGCCAGCTTTCACTGTTCAGAGAAAGTGATGCTTTGCTCTTGGAAAACTGTTACCTGAGACCCCGGGGAGTATGTAAGGGCCTTTCTAGTTGTGCCACAACAAACATGAATAAAGGACAGATGGTAACGGGTGCTAGTTTTGAAGATAATTTTGAAATGATTCTAACCCCTGATTTTTTTTGTCAGACTCTTACTTAAAATTAAGGTTTCACAAACTCATTTTCATCTGCTTAATCTCTGCTAAACTTTAAATTTTGAGCCATTATGTGATGTGTCTGTGCCATAGGCAATTAAAAATTGGTCTTATCACAACAGTCTTGAATAACATATTTTTTCTTTCTTGCAACTACTAGAATATTTTGGCATCTGAGAGATGGCGTTAAATTTTAAAAAACTGAGAGAACCTCCTTGGCAATAGATGAGTGACCAGCCAGAATGTGACCTATGGGCAGAGGGGAAGGAAAGTTGAAGTGTCTCATGACTAAAAGAAACAAGCTACAGAACAAAACCCATCGGCTTAATATAATTCAGTTAAGAAAATTATCAGATAAGGAATCCTTTGCTTAAAAATTACAAATGAAGACAAACAGGGTTCAGGGCACTGATTCTAAAATCTCTTAGCAAGGTCTTTAAGGTTCCTTGCTAACCCCTTTGCCAATGCAAAGAAACTTAAAAGCTTCTTTCTAATGTTACAAGATGGAATGGCCAAAATTTGCTCATAGGGTTAATTTGCTAACTTTAAGTATGGGGACAGAAGAAAACATAATACAGATGCACTATAGAAAAATGTGGTCACCCTTTAAGTTAAGATGATGTTTGACAGGCATTTTCCTTGCTGTCTACATCTCTTTAGTTGCCTAGAGACCAAGTCCAGATAGGGAAGTGTAACACCCTTGCTGAATCTGTGCAGCGCCTCAGTTCCACAATTAGAGATGGAATGGTTTGGATAAGCACAGGACTTAATCTGAAACTTCATCTGAATTGCTGTCAGGAACGGGCTTTACCAGATACCACCAGCAGACCTTGGTTTAGCTACTTGTCAGATGGAGACCTGTACCCCTTGCCAGCTGCTAGGAAGGCAGCGAAAGTAGTTAGGTCATTAGTCTGCTGCAGTTGTTGGGCCAGGCCTGCTCATTTAAGGGGAGGCCAGTGAAGTGTTTCCCCTCCTGGAGAACTGTATCTGAAACCTTGTGGTAAGTTAACATTCCAGCAGCCCAACCTTGCCTTCCAGCCACCTGCCTACCAGGGCAGATCCCAGCACATGAAAGGTAAGCTCTTCACCACCTCTCTGGCTCTATATTCAGCCCTTCCATCAGTCAGGAAAGTGTTTCCCACCTCTTTTCCCTTCCCTGACCTTAAAAACCAGTGGCCTTTTCCTAAACCACTTCCACCTGCCTGCATGGTCCTTGCTCACCCTACACAACTCTTTCCAAGCAGGGCCACCCTTTCAGAACCCCGTGCCCTGTGACTTCCTTTCCCTGACCACTTGGCCAGGAGTTCTGCCCCTTGACTCAGCCCATGCAATGACAGGGTTTTTGACCTGTTTGCAAAATGATGATACCTTTTCTCAGGACCCAGTATGAGGACTCACAGGAGCTGTTGCATGAGCCTGGTTGTCAATGAGTACAGGTGAGTTCACTCACTCTACCCCTCCATTCCTACAGGACCTGCTCAGCCCAGCCACCCTCCACACTTCCTCTCACTGTTCACTCTTCATCTGTCCCTTCCTGAAGGGACACCCTTCTCCCTGGAAATCACCTGGAGGAAAGTGACTGATGACTGTGGACTCTGCAACCAGACTCTTCACCTTCAAATTGTGGTTTTCTCACTTCCTGGGACAATTCTGATCTGGAACAAATTGATGTGCTCCTTTGTGCCTCAGTTACTTCATTCATGAGGATTACTATTGTACCTACATGTTTGGCGTGGGATGAGTTTTAGGGGCCTGGCTATTGTTATAGCTCCATGTGTTATAGCTCTCTAACTTTCCATTTGTAATAGAAGGGCTGTCAAAGTAGAGACTGCTGAGCCTCTGATGCTGGTGGTAGTGCTGTGGGGGGCAGCAGGAAAGATGGGGTTCCTGGCCCTAAGTTACTGCCTCCTTCATGTGGACATGGACAGTTTTTGGTGTTCTGTGTTTGCCTTGTGGAGTCAGTCTCCACAGAAGGGTCAAATGGGTGTTTCTCAGCCCACCAGAGTCAGCCTCTTCAGTAAGTACTGCCTTGGTAATGGAAAACTGGAGGTCAGTGGAGACTGAGCCCTGCACCCTGTTACCATTCTTTGAGGAATACAGATTGTTGTAAATTCTGAGCAGTGAAGGTCTTAGGGTCTTTTTGTCCTTTGCCCTTGTTCCTAATAAAAAAAGCAATCACTAAAAAAAAAAAGCAGTCATCACTGCTCTTCCCCCCGCCCCCCGCCCCCCCATGATCTAGAACAGTCTGGGGATACTATCCTGATGTAGGTTTATCACCCTCTTTATCCAAGTCTCATCTTGAGATCACCTCTCTTCTCTGTCACATGAAGTATCCCCTCTCCTTGATAGCTCAAGTCCTGTTAAACACCATTTCCTCTTTTTAGAATTCCCATCCATTGGGCCTCCCTGGTGATGCAAGGGGTTAAATCACAGCACTACGAACTTATATGCAGCCACTGCAACAAGAGTTCGATCCCCAGTCAAGGAGCTGACCCACATGGTGCAACAGACCTCTCCTGTCTTACCGGTGCTCCCCTCAACAGGGTCAATGGATCTGCCTGTTCTGCTCCCCACTGTCTCTGGTGAATCCTCTCACCTCCCACATCCCTGCCCTGCACCTCTGGCCTATCTCCCAGCTCTGGTATACATACATAAGTAAATCCTTAAAAAAAAAAAAAAAATTACATTGTGTAAATTCTCCTCTCCATACGTATTAAATGTTCATCTTCTAGCAGTCTGTCTGATGTTACTTGTTCATACATAACTCAGAAGAACCCAGGTGGGATGGAGAGACAGTAAATACTGTATGTTCTCATCCCATCTGACCTACCCTGCTCAGGCCCTTAAAGTGGTGATGACAGGAAATCCTGTCTCCTTGTCTTGAGCCCCTTTCAACCAGGTCTCTGGCCACAGCTCACCTGCCCAGGGGTTTCTTCCAGAACTGTAAGCACCAATCTCCTCTTCAGCTTCTTCCACCCATCATGCTATCCAAATGGATTCTTTTGTCTAAGGGTCTCTTCCAATTTCAACATGTCCACAACATTTAAAAAAAAAAAAGTTTTTTTATGCATATAAGAGCATAGGTGCAAAGGGGTGAGAGGATTCACCAGAGACATAGTGGGGAGCAGAACAGGCAGATGGACAAGGGGAACAGTGGGCAAGACAGGAGAGGTCCTCCATGCCATGTGGGTCAGCTACCTGGCCGGGATGGAACTCAGTTGCAATGGCAGCGGATATCTTCCTTCATAGTGCTTCACTTAAACCCTTTGTGCCACCAGAGAGGCCCCCCTCAACATGTCTACATCTTAGCCATCCATGGAGGAACAAATTCTGTCACCCTAAAGCATATCTTTGGCAAGAAATGTACTAATTGGGAGTGACTCTGAAGGCAGATGGAAGTGCTTTGCATGTTTATATCTAAAATCTCTGTAAGGGTCTTTGACAGGCAGTTTTTCTCTTACCTCTTTTTGATGGGCAGAGGTAGAAGTGCCTTCATTTACCCCCAGTAAACCCTAACTGACTTCCCCTCCCATCCTTCCCTGTCCCACCTAAACTATTTAAGGTGGCCCACAAGGTCACATGTGGGAGGTAGTCATGCTGGGTCTCGCCCAGGTATAAGCAAGGTATGCCCATCTTACTAAATTTCTCTGTAGGGGACGCCTACAGAGAATTTCTGGGTAGGGGACGCCTTTGCACCCTGACACAGCTCACATTTCCACTCCATGGCCCTAACCGCCAAGATTTTCCTCATGCCTCAACTCTCCATTCCACACATGCTTACTCTGGGCTGGTGAACATTTTTATTGGACCCCATGGTAACCTGGCAGATCTGCAGGCACAGTCTATGTTCTGTTCTTTGTCAACTATTTCTTTTCCCTCCTGGACTACGAGTACTTTGAAGACAGGGCTGTATATTATACAGTATGGGGATTGTTCTAGTAAAGTACTAAAAGAGGTTTTTGGTGATGTCTCCTTTCTGGGCCTGGCAATGTCACAGCTATTCTTTCAAGGTGGGGTTGGCCTTCACGTAGCTCCAAGGTTCACAGGGTCTCTGCATCCTTGACCCTCTGAGCCTTATTGAGTGAGAGTTAAATAGTGGCCCAGGATGGCTGGGTTACTGGTCAAACGGGTGGGGGGGGGGCAGCCTAAAGTAACCAAACCCATACACAAAGCAGGCAGTTTACCCAATCAGCTTCCGTTTCTCCCTGGGAAGGAAGAACCGAACAGAAACGCAGGCTGTGGTGTAGCAGTGGAGGTGCCGCGGGAGGAGGCAGTGAAGTTCATTAGGCCCCTCATTTGGGCCAAAGGGGATCCGTGTGGTGACAAACAATTGTCCTGGAGGATTTAGGAGGATTTGGCCAAGTGTCCCTGTGGGCCCCAAGCCTCCTCCTAATCCCATCCACATTTCAGACTACTTAGGATCGCATTAACTGTCAAAGCCGGCGTTTAGGGAAATATCTACATTTCGTATGCATCGCCCGAGTCAAAAGAAAAGCTGAAACGAACCTTCCAGCTTTTGGCGCGAGAGGCGCTCTGTGTGGTCTCGAGTGTGAATGGGGAGAGGGGGGCGGTGCCCTCGCGGCCTCCCCGCCCAGGAATGCGGGCTTTTCACAAGTAGAAAATGCTAATGCTTTGTTCCAGCCTCGGCCTCCCGGAGGCGCGGAGGCGCCCGGCCGGATTGTCACGGCTGCATTTGCATGTGAGCGGCTCCTGGCCCCCACCCCCACCCCACTACGCCCCTCCCCCCAGCACGGCCTGGCTGGGGACTTTGGAGCTGATGGCAAAGCTGTCTGCCCACATCCTCGCCCATCAGTTAATCCCTCTAAGGCCACTGGTAGCCACTCTGGAACTTCTTGCATGAATACCCTTTTCCCAGAGGTGCCGGGCAGGTGAAATGTTATTTCAAGATATTTAACGCTTTCAGTTATTGCACGTGAAACAACGCATTCCATCGAGGACGACCACGGCATTGGACGAATCATCCTGGAGCCTAGTTTCGCACTGATGTTCTTGGGCAAGAACCCAGCGTTTGATGTGACGCTTTGCAGGAGGTCCATGCGCAGAGTGGCTCATGCGCAGAGTGTGCAACGAAGGACCGCAGGTGGCGGGGTGCTGTTCTTATTTTCACTGAAGCAGACATTGCGCTCGAAGGTCCCCCGGCGAGGGCACACAGCACTGGCACTGGCGAACGTGCATCCCCGGGCTGGGCCCGCCGCAGGAGCCACGCGACGTCCGTGGCACCACCTACCGGCGACTGGGTGAGCGAGGCTGGACTGCGCCTTTTCTCCGCAAGACTGCAATTACCGACTTGGAAGCCTCGCGCGTGCAGCGCTCTGCCGGCCCAACATATGCTAGCGCTGACCTTTAGCCCGGGCCGACTGGCGGGATCTGGAAGATGCACGTGAAAAATCAGGATCCTGGCCTACAAATACACTTACGGTTTCCTTCCTTGATTACAATGTTTATGTCCTTGATTTCATTTCATTTGTCTTTATTTTCTTTTTATTTATGTTATTTCCTTATAATTGGCCTTTTATTTCACTTATTCCACTTAATTATTTTCTTGGTTTATCATTTCATATTCATTTCATTTTACTAGCAATTTATTGTTTTGCTTGTCCCTCTATTCAATTTTATGCATGTTTGGCTCGCTTACATATTTTTAACTTATTTTATTGGCTCGCTTACATATTTTTAACTTATTTTCTCTTATTTGTAAGTGAAAGAGAAGGCTGGATACCTTTTCCATTTTATTCTGAGGCTTATATTTTTTCCCTGCCTGAGATTTGAGTACTGAAAGCAACTACTATCTCACCTAATTTTTCTGGGTGTTGGTCTTGCCCCAACTAAATTAAAAGTTCCTGAAAGTCAGACTTATGGCTTGACGTGGAAATTGAGCCAGGGGCTGAGGATTAGCCCAACTCCTGGTGGGGACAAGGTTTGGGGCAGGTCCTCCTCACACAGGGCTTGATGAATCTGAAAATCTAGTGAGTGAGAGGGGATATTCAGTTCATGGGCCCCTGAGCCCTTGTCTCCAAGTGGTCCAGGGAGCAGGGAGCAGGGAGCGAGCTTGGACAAGACTCCTGCTGCTCTGTGGGGAAGGGCTCTGGGAAAGGTGGGGCTGGTGATGGGCCTAGATGAGATACTGCCCTCTGAGGCTCTTAACACAAGTTCTCACTACTCAGACTGGGCAAAGAATGGACTTCCTTTCCACACATTTTTGGAGATGTCCCACTTTACTTTCTAACGTGTCACTTTCTAATTTGTGTGTGGTGCACCCACAGGTGTGCCCTTTCTGCTCCTGTGTGCCGTGGGTAAATTACTTCTTATGTTTATGCTGCAGTTTCCTAATCTGCAAAGTGGATCGTCATAAGACATAGAGCACTGACTGACCTGTTAGGAAGCTTAAATGAAGTAATATTTAATATTTGCAGATGTACTAAAATACCCTGCTGAGGGGAGCAGCCGTCTGGCTGGTCAGGAAATGAAATCAAGGACATAAACACTGTTATCATGGAAGGAAACCTTAAGTGCATTTGTGGGCCAGGGCAGGGTTAAGGAGGAATACCCCCTTAGCTATTGCTGCATTAAAAAAATGGCCTTTGGGACCTCCCTGGTGCCACAGTGGTTAAAGTCAGCACTATCAAGCTATCCCTAGCCGTTTTTTTGGCATTTTCCATACCTGCCCAGGGAGCTGACCCACATGGCTGCTAGACCTCTGCTGCTCCCCTCAGCAGTGTATTTCAGTCAGTCTGCCCCTTCTGCTCCCCACTCTGTCTCTGGTGAATTCTCTCACTCCAGCACCTCTGGCCTTTACCCCAGTTCTATGCACAAATATTTTTAATATAAAATAATAAATAGAGTGGTGCCTTGAGTTTCTGTCTGTCTGTGACAATCCAGTCTTTTCTAGTTTAGGGAGTAGGTGACAAAGAGGTCTGCCCCTTGCCCAGAGCTTGCCTTTTCCAGGCCTTCTCTTCCAGAAAATCAAATAGGAGTTTTTTTTTTTCTTCTGAGCTATTCCAAAGAACAGTGAAAAAGCCAACATTGACTTCGTAGTTCAGAATCAAAGGTGACCAGCAAAACTTCATTTGGCCTCTGTCAGTCCCTAAGAGGCCTCAGAAGTAGAGCAGCTGGTCATCAGTCCAGTATCTCTGTCATAATCATCCTCAGCACTTAAAATCAGAAACTCTTTTTTAAC